AAATGACATGGTAGACAAAACGCAGAATGTAATGACGTTTTGATAAATTTATTTATTTAATTCGAAAGGGGCATATGACGGAGCAAATTACATTTTAATAAGTTCATTGACAATTCAAAGAACTTTTAAAGTTAAATATAACCGAAAAATATTGTGGAGTGTTTAATGGCAACAAAATCGTTTGCTGAACCTGTTTCAGATATAATTTGGAAGCTTCAACAAATTTATGAAACAAATGGAAATTGCGCTGCAACACCTCGTGTAAGAAAATAAAAGATGAATGAACCACAATAAATTGAGCACGACTGTAGAGTCACAAACAAGAATCAGCAACCATATTTTTCTACCGAACCTTGGACTTGCAGACATGTTTTCTACATGTTAAGGGGAAAAATAAGGATAAATATGTTGTAACATATGTATTATTATTCATCTTCCAAGGGGATTGGTGCATTGTTCAATCAAAAGTACCTCCCTCGTGTCTGGCATTTTCAAATCAAAACTCACGAGGGCAAATCCAAAAGGCAGGTGTTCAAAATGATCTTTAAAAATTAAACGTAGTAAATAAACCAAAACCTCTAATGCAATTATTCAGCTGTGCTATGGCATTGCTATCAGAACATGCACTCACTGCTACGATACCCATCGTAGAGTGATATCCGAGATCAGAATTCAGAGCTTTTGCTGAATTTGCGTCCGGACATTGCCTCAGATTCATATAGCATGTGATTGATGAGTCCCCTTGCCGCACTGCCAGATGGAAAAGCAAAGGAACACATTGTTTTTGGGTTAGCATGTGCACGTCTATCTAAATCAGGACCTTAAAAAAATGAGATACATCGAAGAGTATATGAAAAGAGCAGAAGGTCATTAGGGAAGCGTAGAACTGAAATTCTCACTAGAAATCTTGCATTGAAAGAAAATAAAGTAAATTGAAACTCACTCATCCTTGAACTTCTGAATTTTCTCTGGATCAGTCTCCTGCATATGCTTTTTGAACTGCTGTCTTACCATATCAACAAGAAGTTCTGTATTGTATTGCTGAAAATGGAGTTGATAAGAACCACCAAGTCAGCAACCCTTTTTTTCTCAACTTGAGAGAAATGCCAAAGAAAAGGAATAATATTCAGAATAAATGTTAGGTTCTGGCTTCTTCTCTATATTTTCAAGACAAAAAATGAATTCCTAGTCGAGGCTTCAATAGTATGACATAGATGGTATACTAAAAAAACTAGCTCGAAAGATTTGTTATAGCTAATAAGAAAATCTAGGATCATATCCAGTTACTGTCTTCCTATTTCACTCTAATTTTGTGATCATGGAGTTGATTTGGTTCTTGGATGGTGACCACCCAATAAAAAAAATAATGCCTTTTTCTAAAATAGTTAGTTCCATCAAAAATATAAATGTGAAACTTCTCGGTAGTTTTTTTTCCTCTTCTTGGGCAATAACATGCTTTAAGTTAAGCACGCCCACAATTAAGACACAAAAATAGTTTATCCTAATCACTCATTAAGAGTGCATGCCTACTGATTACAAATAAATGGCAAAAGGGTCCTCTCATAGACTATGCCTGCACACAACCTACTCGTGGATTGTGATCGTGATCGTGATCGGGATCGGGATCGTGATCGTGAGTCAAATCTACTTGAACCAGGTAGTTTCACTTACAGGTGTACCATAGCCAACAAAGGCAAGAAGGTTCGTACATAACACTGAGCATGCAACATCAACTCAGACATGAGGACAAACTTCAAAAATGTGCATGAACAATCAGTTCTAGGTCCCCAAATTTACATCATAAATCACTGCCAACCTATCAGAATGGATTAAACAAAGCTATGAACAATTTAATCAACTAAGTCTCTTTAGAATCTCTCGTGATCAATGTCAATAGGAGGGAAGGGGAGCTTCAGCATCATATCGATCACATCTAGCTTCAGTTAGCTGGAAAGTATACTATTATGTTCATTATTACACATTCATTGAACCCTTAGAAACCCACAATATATCGATATATAAGGGAACAAATCAAGTGGCGACACATCATTGAGAAGTTTCTGCATAATTTAGAAAGCTAACTGAAAGGACTTGTTTAGATGAGCAAATAATGAGTCCATGAAAATTCTAAGAAGGCTGGAATCCGAGAATCCGACCTTCATCGGAACACAGATCTAGATCAAAGATTACATAAAATCAATTAAACCACCTCTTACAAAATCTTCCGTTGAGAACAGCAACAAAATAATCATGTCCTTCAAGTGTAATTCTACTACCATCAGTTCTTGGATCAAGTGGTAGGTGGTAATTTAGAGTCTAGAGTCAGCTGCATAACATGAGTACATACAGGGACATACAGTTACATGCCTGCTAACCTGATGCAACAGGCAATTCGAAGATCCATGATAGCTCCTTCTGATTTGATGGAAATGTTTTTTGAACAATGCGAAGAAATCATTTCTTGAAAATTTCTAAGAGTAAACGCTTTCCATTCATATCACTAGAAAATATAAAATCCCTAGATCAAAAGCACATCAAGACTTTTCATTTTTTTATTACCACAAAGAGAAACTATTTAACAATATTTTATCGTATTTATCTTCTGCAACATAGATAAACTCAGATTCATCAAGAAACAAGCCACAGAGAATTGAGAGATCAAGCTAAGGAATCAAATACCTTCTGGCCAATATATTTAGCACGCCGCAGGCATTCACGATAAAGCTACAACATAAAATGGTAAAATGAGTTATTTTACTACAACATAAAATGGTAAAATGAGTTATTTAAAACACAGGATATCTAAATTTTTGAACTAAATTTTTCAAATATTACCACAGACCCAAAGAATCGATTTTTATACTCATAAACAAAGCCCTAAGTTTAATCCTTATATAAAATCATATAACCATAAAAATGAATTAAATGCTTAAAAATGGAAAAATTAATAATGAACAAAACGGAATGATAGCAATACTAACTCGAATAGCGTTGTTTGCAAGTTCGGGAGGCAAAGCTGTCTGCAAAGACGGCATTTTTCCGTAATTTCACCTGACAAAATATATTCAAAAGGACTAAGAAACAATAAAAATGGAGTTCAGACAATATACTATCTTATGCTAATACATATTGTCTATATACATATAGAGAGAGAACTGTACCAGTTTCCGGAAGTGGTCAGAGGTTAATGTAACTCAACGGAGGCCAGAGGGGAAAATGAAGTGCCTGAGCAAGGTTTTGGACTCGAAACTGGTTGAATTCTACAAAGTCTTGTTTAGAGAATCTGTGTGTAGCTAACGCGCTTTTTTCCCTTACTACAATTAAGATCCAATAATTCATTTTCTTTAGTTCTTATTTTTGCCAAGTAATATAAAAAAATTTGTATCATGTTTCATAATTGTAACAATCTAATTGTATTTTGGAGGGCCCTTGTTGCAGATGGGAGGCGACTCAGGAAAGTCATAAAAATTATGTTTTAGTGGATGCAGAGCCGGCCCCGAGAATTTAGAGGCCCTAGGCGTTTAATTATTATGAGGCCCTTCAACATAATATTTATTTTACAAGTGCAATAATATGTAAATATTTAAATAATTAATACTTTTAATTATTATGAGGCTAGACGAGGTTATGTTCCAAAACAGGTTCTGATAAATGAAGTTATGCCATATGCTAAAGGGTCTTCAAAGTAGGGAGGGATTATGCTTTGTGATAGGTACAATGATATACAGAGTGGATACAATGCTGCAGTCAAAGGCAGCGTCTAGGTTCATCAAATATCAACTCAAAAGACATGTTTTTTATGCTCGAATCGACAGTAATGTATAAGATTGGAGAAGGGGCACAAATTTGTCAATTCTTCATTCTAATCTTGTCTAGTTCAACATACCATACACATCAATAATGTTTACCATAGAGCAGAAGGGATTTCCTCTATGGCTTACACAAATAAGACCTGACCCTCAAATATATTGTAATTTTTCCATTTTAAAACAAGCACTTTACTATCTCTTAGAGATTATAAATTATTCAAATCTCTCTACTACTGATTAAAATTTTACTAATTCATTAAAACATCAGAACAGACAGAACTTTTAACTTCAAGTCTCTCTGCAACTGAATTGTTGATGGGTTACAAGTTTGGCTTTTAGTATAATAAATCTAACTCATTTTGGAGTGAACCTGACTGATTTTAAGCATGTCCGGTCCTTAAGTTACTTTCACGGAATCTATTTTTCAGTTTTTTGCTGATCACTGGACCAATTTTAAGTTTTCAAGTTAAACTGGCAGATCAAGTCCAACTTTGATAACACTAGAGAGTTCACAAGGAATAATGACAAAGTCGAGATATTTTCATCAGTCAAAGATCTAAATAATGCAATTTTCCCTTTTATCTATGTACTCATCTAAACAAAATCAAATATGGGAACGTAATATTTGATTCAGTGACCAAAAGTGACAAAAACAAATCCTCATTCATTCTATCAGGCAACAATGTGGAAAAACATAAACAAGTATGAAGCAGGCAGTGCCGCGGGTGCACAGTAATATGAATACCTTGTTAAGGGGGCAGTGTTAGGAGAAGGGGTTTAAGAGGAAGCGTTTCGTGTAGTTTCCAGCAACAGTGGACGGATATCAAACTTCCAAGTCTGCAAACGGCAATGCTACAACAGCCATAAGAAGAAGACGAAGAGGCCGAATTCGTAGTTGGGTAATCGGATTTCTCGCTGGAAGTTTTGCTGGTTCACTGTTAGGTTTTTCTTTTTAGGGATTGGTAGGGATTGGTATTCTTCTCTTCAAGTTTGGGCCAGAGTCGACTCTGAATGGATGTTAATTCTAAAAAGAAACGAAATGTAATAATCTTTACATTACATTGCTAGCAAAAAGGTCTGCCTTGTAGGTTATAACCAATTTAGACAT